AATAACAATGTATAAAAGTCATACATTTTGATACATATATATTTTTCTCAACCAACTAATCATATTAGACAAACATCAAGCTATATGGGAAAGAACACTATTGAGAAGGGCATATCCTATTCAATATTCCTGAACCATGTAGCATTAATCTTCCTAGTTGCTTACATGAGAAACAAAATTGAAAACAAATTAAATAACAAAAAATGCCTAACACAACTAGTAAATAACAAGATTTTTTAAATTTGACAACATAATTTTGATCTATCTCAATTTAATGATTTTTACATTTTGAAAATTATTATTTTTCCTGTCAATTAAAAGACATTCTTGATGCACATAAAAAATTCACATCAAATAATTTATTTTCCCATAGATAAAAGGATATAAAGTTGAATGCATTTGAGTAATGTACCCTAATATACTTCCTTAACGGTGAAGCTTGGAATAATTCATTTAGTTCATAATCTGAGTACTGTGCTTTACAATCAACAATTGAAAAAAAAAATATGCGAGTGACCACAATTTTGAAGTCAACTCGTCTATATTGATTGATTTTAAAAAAAATAAAAACATGTGCTTTATAATCGGGGAATAAAGAGAAATTGATTATAATGAATTGTGGGACAGTTAGTATATTTTGATAAATGTGCTTTAACATAAATTGGATTTGTCAAGTTGATTAGGATATTTACTCTCAATTAATAAATACATATTAAAATTTGGTGTAGGTTAGTATATAAGTTCTACGTTGCATATTTTTACATATATAAATTTTTTTATCTCCGTCGGACAAGTTGCTATTTCTTTTTAATTATTTAAATTAATTGTTATCAATTATTTATTTTTCATTTAATATTTTATTAGTCATAATAATCATTTTAAAATTATCATATTACTTATGTATAATTCAAATAATTGTATATTCACAAGAGAGCAAAATATAAGATTATTTAAAACTCATTAAAAAATTGGTATCAAAAAAATATATTGGACTCAAATTCCAAAAAAGAAAGTGTATCTTACATTATTTGAAACCTATTTTATTCAAAATTTATTGTAAAATAATACATAATTATATTTTTTATGTCAAACAGGTACTCATTTTTATTTTGACCTCCCAATTTGTTTTGTAGCATCAATTTTATTCAAACTTAGATATAAAAACTACACATAGTTAAAATTTTATAAATTTGGGGCTCAAATATTTTTCCCCACTCGACCTATAAAATGTTTGAGTGACTGAGCTACTTTATTATTCATTATCCATATTTAATTATTATTGACTTTTAACTTAAAGTAACACAAATAACTGATAGATAATGTAGTGACTATATATAAACTTTTACACTGAAACTGTATAAATATTACACTCATATTAAAATTCATTTGAAGTCCATTTAATGTTTAATTTCTTCATATGATCTATTTATCCATTATTATTTCAAAAGGAGTAAATTACAACGGACACTACAAATTATCTCTTTTTTTTGTATCTACACAAATCACTCACATTTATATTCATACATTATACTAATTACCCATATATGACAAATAAATGTAATATTTTAAACAAAAATGAACGACCGATATAATTAAATTAAACAAAATATGGTATATTGTGGAGATAAGTCTAAATAATATAAGAGATATTTTTATTATTCTTTTGGTTCTTTACAAAATACATCAATAATTTTAAGGACATATTGTTTAAATAACTCTTATACTATATTATAACGAACAAAAATAATAAAGATGTATTGACTCAAATACTATTTGGATTGTCTCCATTATATACCATATTTTGTTTAACTTAATTACATTTATCACATTCTTTTATTTAAAATATTATATTTATTTCTTCTATATGAGTAATCAGTGTAATGTATGTATATAAACTCGGGGGTTTGGGTAGGTGTAGAAAAGAGATGTGTGATTTGTATAATTTCACTGAAATTCAAGGGTGTTTGAGTAATTCAATCTTTAAAAAATAACCAAATGTTATTTCACAAAAAATACCAAGTGTTATTTATGTAAGTAATATTTATCTTAAATTAAATATTTTAAATTATGGTTGGATTAGTATAACACAACTGTAGGAAAATGTGGCCACCAATGTATTTGTGGTGCAACTATCCAAAAATGCAATATTATGACAACAATTATATTTACATAATGTAATTTTATTGTTTGTGAAAGCGAACCTAGCAATATTTTTAATATAAATTCAAACTCTTGAAATGTCCTTTTGAGGATGTCATTATATCATACCTGAGTCTCATAACTACATTCTTTTGTTAGGGTTAAAAGATATATAATTCTTCAACTTAACTCCTTTAGGAAAATGGAAATGAGAATTATTAACTGAGAGAGATTGCCTTTGTTCCAGGGTTCTTGAGTTCAAATATAGGAGACTTGGCCTTAATAGTTTGGGGACTAGCTCCCTTATTCCCCTAAAGAAAAGATCATCACGGACTAGGGATTTAGACAACCGTGACTCAGAGCCCCTAATGACCTAAACTGATTTTCGGAAAATGTTGAACGAATGGTGGGGAATGGGAATAATACAAGCTTCTCGTTCAATGGTTAGATTTCGAAAAACGTGAAGTAAAGTATAATAGGCTCTACTTGCTCAGCATGGATAAGGAAGCAGATATAAGTGGTCCTTAACTTGGAGAAGACATCATTTTGTTTGGTAATTCAGACTAATTGAAAATCTTATGTAGGATCTTCAAAAACTACTTTACATAGATACACTAGAGATCAATGGGAGTGGTCCGATGAAAAATCGGTCAATACTCTGTCAAATCAACTTATAAGGTTCTCTTAAGACATGCGAACAACCTCCGGAAGGACAACAACTTTTCCAAACTTTTGTGGGAGTGTAAATCCACTTTGAAAGTCATTGCCTTGATAGATACTTTTTCAAGATAGATTATCAACCATGAACGCCTTGTAAATAAGAGGAATGACACAACTACAAAGGGAATTTTTTTTTTTTGTTTTTGTAACGAGGAACAAGAAACATCTCAACACTTATTTTTTCTTGCAAATTCACTTATCTACTTTGGCATGAGAGTTATAATTGCCATCAACTTGAAATTGTGGTTCACCAAGACCCAATGAGAAACTTCTTAATGCATAAGAGACTACCAACCAACAACAAGTATAACAATTTTAGGAGCATTATTTGGTTTTTATGAGGTGACTTTTCACTAAATCGTGGAGACTGTGAAGGTGAGATTATGACTATAGATCAAATGAAAGAGTGATAAATATATAATGTCATACTTTGAATGGGATAGCAACCAATGTGAGAGTATAGCTTCCTATTGTCTTAGCTTTCTCTATGGTTGCATTTTGCCAATATGTAGAACCTCCTAGTAATTTCTTATACTTCTAGTACCATAATAAAATAAATATTTTTCTGGATCAAAAAAATAAAATAGGAGTGAGACCTAATATTTCCCCAGTCCCATTGCATGCAGGAGAAGGCGAAAACTCAGGTATTTGCGGGTATTGATTCGATATAAACTTTGCAATCATGATGAAACTTGTGCTTTGCAACCCAACGGTTGAAAAATATTTGCGTGACCACAGTTTTAAAGTCAACTTGAGTAAATTTGTATTTCTAATTTTTAATTAAAAATGTATTGTACAGAGGTGATATGTTTGAGGGAGTCCGTCTAGTGGTTAAGGTGGTGGAAGACTTAAGGAACATGGTGAATGAGGTTGTAAGTTCGAGTCTCACCCATAGCAACTTAAAAAAAGGAGTTATAAGGTGGGTTGATGATTAAAGTGAAGGAGGTTGATGGTTCGAGTCTTGTTCACAACAAATACTAACAACTAACATTTGCCGATAAAAAAAAGAGGTCATAAGTTTGAATTCGAAAAATTAGGTTTATTATCTCCTATTTCCTATTTTACTAAAGTAGTTACTACACTAATATTTAGAGATTTTATTATATATATTATTGCATTAACAAATTTTAACTATATATATATCAATATTATTGAATTAACCACTTTTAACTCTAAAATTTAATTATATTATTCTTCTCAATATATTTGTATTTTGATGTCGATTTCATCTAACCATCTATAGCGTCTAACAAGTATTGTTGTATTGCTATTATTGTGAGTTCAATAGCAGTTTCCTTAATGACCTATTTATATCATATGAACTAATATTATTTAGATGTATAAATCAAATATTATATTTCACTTTCACGGTTTCACCCATTTAAAAAAAATAAACTCTTGACACTCGGCTCTAACCCTTTATTTCTTTAAATTCCCTACTCCTATTTTTTCTCTCATTGTAAGTTCTTCTAATAGCTTTTCTAAAACCAATAAAATAAACTATTTTAAAAAAAATTCTAGTCACTGAATGAAAATTAAATGTTAATAAGGAATGTACCCATTTCTATAAAAAGGAAATAGTAATAATACAAAGATGAATTTGTAGTACTAGACAAAACGTAGCAATCAATTATAAAAGATAGATATGGGGTTCAAAGCTTGTGAATGTCAAAACGAATATATTCAGAGCAAGTTGGTGTCATCAACATGCAAACTAGTGAAGTACCTGCAGTTGACTTTGCCATTTTCAGCATGCCACGATATATAGTATACAAGAGAACACTTTAGCTTAATATTGATGAATATATACATATATATATATATATATATATGAAAGGATGGTCCATCCTATTGTTTAGAACATATTCTTAAATTAATAATCTCTATCTCTTGCTATTGCCATATATAGTTGATTTTGGTATGAGATAACGAACCAAGGAAAAGTCATTGTTGAGGACAATAACATTTAATTCGTCATAATAATAAAATATAATAATAAGCAACATGTCACCAACATATGCCAATAAACTCTTTTATTTTATGTGACATGTTGAACTATATAAATAGGTATTTGGTCATTCAGTATTTAGCATCAGAATTGAAGTAGAGATCAGTAAGAGTGGTGTCTTGTATGTAGATGAAGAGTAATGTCTTGTAGCCAAGGATGGCTTGCCTACCTAAACCTATTCTTAGGACTTTGTCTTATAGAGTCCCTTGTTTGGTTTATTAATTGGCAAGCATCTATGGCTTGTTGACCGTCTCTTGTCTTACATGCTAGACCTTCACTCTTAATTCCCATACCGGCCATGAGTTACTATCGGTAAGTACATCGAAAACAATAAGAAAAAATTGAATTATATGACATTTTTATCCTTTAGATATAATGAGAATATGTTTTTGTTATTAAATGTAAAAACAACAACTAGCGTATTTGATATCGTAAAAGTCATTAGTTTTCTTTCATGGTATATGAAAATTTCTTTCAAAGAATGAACATTTATTAGATTTACAATCAATCATTTTTTGATTTTGAAAATAAACAAAAAGTTCTACATGTCATCCTCTAATAAGTTACTTGTATCACTAGCGCCTATTTTATTTTCCCTAAGTTTTGTACAAAAATAAATTGCCAGACAATGTTTTGAATCGGCTGTGTAGTGCTTTTTTATTTGTTTTGGGAGTGCAATCGTGTTCAATTAATTATTCTTAGGCTTAGCATGGAGAAATAGCCACATTATGAAAATATTTTTATAGAAATGGATACATTAATTATGATCCAGAAGTGAATCATTTATTCATCCTTTTAATTTTATTATGATCCTAACTCAGTAATTATGATCGGAGCCAATCAATTGAAGGGAACCATTTATTTATTCATCCTTTCCATTTTATTATGAGTAGGGATGACAAAAATATTCGTACTCGTGGGTACTCGTCAAAATACTTGCAATGAGTATTCGCAAAAACAACTCATAGGTAGGAACGAGTATCATGATACCCGCCCGTGGGTACCCTGTATATATTTTAATTAAATATTTTATAATTAGTTATTATTAATTTAACATTATACTTGTTTATTTTATTATTACATCATAATAAAATTTAGTGATGATACTATAATCATAAATTTATCATATACATATCATATTATTTAAATAAAAAATATTTTTATAAATTAATTATTGTAAAATATAATTAAAATTGAAAACACGTTGATTACCCGCAGATAACCGCTACCTGCACGGGTAACGCAAATAGTGCAGGTATGTTCACATCATTATTCGCGCCCGTTATCATGAGCTAGCTCACATTAGACAAAATATTACTATTATTTATACTACTTTATTACTACTTTTATTTAGAGTAGTTAGATGTGTTGATTTTTTAGGAAGATACTAAAATATATTTTTAAATTTATGAAAAGTACGACAACATTCCAAAATATATTTATTTTAAATTTTATCAAGTTCATTACTTATACAAATTTATTTTATATCTCATTTCTTTGTCAAATTTATATTAAATACTACCTAAATTGAGTATAAGAAAAATAAAAGGTTCTATTGTAATATATATGGAAGGATTAATTAAATATAGAGTGAAAATATACTACATAGATATTGTAAAATGACTTATATTTAGAAAGAAGAAAACTAAAAAAATGTGAAAATACAATTTTATCCTCCTAACTCTCATTGGTTTAGCTAGGCAAATCATCCTTGGCTTCCAAACATGACTCTTCATCTACTTGCAAGACCCCACTCTTACTCTCTAATTAATTCTGATGCCAAATACTGAATGACCAAATACCCTATTTATATAGATCATAATGTCACATAAAATGAAAGAGTTTATTCAGATGTTGCTTATATTTTAATATGAGTATAATATTATTGCAAAGATTTATACATAATCAGTACATCATCTGCCGTTTATTTTTATTAATTTTTTTGAAAAGTTAATGATGATTAATTAAAACATTAATGATAGATGATGCAATGATAATGTATAAAACTCATATACCGTCAATGCATACATCTTCTATTATTATAATGACTAATTAAATAACATCTTCTTAATTGGTTTGTTATCTCATACCAAAATCCATTGTTTAAAAAGCCGGTACGGCACGGTTCAACCGGAAAACCGGTGAACCGGACCCCTAACCGGTACGGTACGTATGTTATACCGCATATGCAATAGAACCGGTCAAAACCGGTGAAAACCGGTCGGTTTGTACATTAATTTTTTTTTTTAAATTTCAAATTTTCAATTCTTCACCAATTCTTCAACTTCAATGATTGATACTTGGGTCATTTATTTGTATTTTGCGTTTGTTAAGTGATAATTTTGGATTAATATATGTTTTGCACTTTAGACTTTGATTTTATTAAAGACTTAATGTTGTTTGTTTGTGTGAATTTGAAGTAAATTATGAATATGAATTATAAATATGAATATCTACTTATTTGAATTTTTTTGTTATAGGTTTATATATATATATATATAAGCAAGTATGTACAGTTTAACCGGCATGCGGTTTAATTATTGAACTACTGGTTGAACCACTGTACCAGTACCCTGACCGGTTTGATAACCGGTACGGTTTTAATAACATTGCCAAAATCAACTATGGCAGTAGCAAGAGATAGAGATTATTAATTTAAGAATATGTTCTAAACAATAGGAGGGACCATCCATTCATATATATTCATCAATATTAACATAAAGTGTTGCTCTTCTATGCTATGTGATATGCTGAAAATGGCAAAGTCAACTGCAGGTACTTCACTAGATTGCATGTTGATGACACCAACTTGCTCTGAATATATCCGTTTTGACATTCACAACCTTAGAACCCTATATTTATGTTTTCTAATTGAATGCTACGTTTTCTCTAGTATTACATTTTTAATTTTTGAATTATTTCCGGGTCTTTGCATTTATTAATGAGTTTAATATTTATGTATTATCTGTGTAAAAAAAATTACACTCACAATACATCATCTACCATTAATTTGTATTACTTTTATTTGAGAGTCAATGATAATTAACATATGAATTATAGATTATATATTGAAAATGTAAAAAATAGTTACAGTATATACATATTAAATCCTTTATTAATAACTAATTTTAATTTGTTGGAAAAATAACTTATGTACATATACTTTAAAAGCATTTTAGTTCTTTTTTTTAATACAGGGAAATGTGAAAGTATGATATATGTCCAAATCTACCTCAGAATATATACAGACAAACCAATGTGAATTCTCAAAAAATTTCTTTTTATTTTCATTATTCACCATTTATCTTATTATTAATAATCATTAATATCACTTGACTAATTGTATCCTTTATATTAAAAGTAGTTATTAACGTTGAAAATATATGTGATAATTGATTTATTAATCATATCTTAATTTTTTAAATAGACAAGTAAATTGAAACTTTTTTCAAAAGGACAAATAACAGAGAACAACTTGAAATAAAGATAGGAAATAAGATGATGACTACCTAATAACTTTAATAATTTATAAAGTCAAGAAATTATTTTTTACCCCTATAGATTTTTTTGGGTCATGATATTAATTTTAACCAAGTAAGGTTATTTTAGTACTTTAACCTAACAGTGACATTTTTGTAGTTACTTTAATGTGTAAATACCACATTCCCAAATGTCTAAGGCACATGAAATATTGCATTTTGTTTTTTGGATCCCTCATTCACATGAAATGTATCAGTTATATTCTTTACAACAAATGTGTTATAAGGACAAATGAATGGTCGTTATTACTTGATTGTGTCGCTTATATTTTTCAAAATTCTTTTCTTTTAAAAAATGAAAATGTGTCATAATGTTCGTGGAGGCTTTGATGAGTCACTTCTTTTATGTATATTATGCTTTGAACAATTACAATATGTCACATTCATTTTTTAAATCAATAAATGAAATTATAGTCGACATTTGCTTCCAAAAAGACTAGTCTTATTCGTTGGACTCTCTTCATATAGTTAAGTCATAACCATTAGACATCCATTTGCCCCAAAGAACCATAATGCTTCAGCGACAACACCAATCAGCAACCAACTAAACATCGATAATATTATCCACAATAAATAGAATAATAACATAATGCATAAGAAATGACAATCATATCCATACAAAAAAGGGCAGAAAGGTAAATGTAGGCATATATAAATAGATCACTTGATGTACTATATTGCCATAACTTGAGGTAATTAACTCAATTATTGTTTGAGAGATTCAATTGATAATTTTGCTACTAGATTGCACTTATGTCCTGAGCTTTATCTTTAATAAGTTTATTATTTTAAGATTGATGTTATTATTGTATTCATTAGTCACAACATATATGAATAGTATTAGAAGACAATACAACAAATTTTCATACAAACAACACCATTAATGGAGTTAAAGACCACAAGACAAAAATGGAGAAGAATGAGGAATATGGCACTTAATTTTGGGCTTCTATGTATTTCCTGTTTCATTTTCTCTTTTGGGCTTTGCCTTTATTTCTAGCCCATTCTTTATTTTTCTGTTGATAGTTTGTTCAATCAGTTTCTATAACTGATTGCTCTTTTATTTAAGGGGAGTTAGCTTTCCCTTTTTCCTACACAATTATCAGTTTTCTTTATCAAAAAAAGACACAATTTTTCTTTCTTCCATTCTCAATAAAATCATTTCCCATTCAGTTACCTTCCTTTTCTTTCTTTTTCTTGATTCTTCAAATTGCGAACAAGAATGGGATGCCATAGATTTAATATGGTATCAGAGCCTCTGCTCTGCCGTGCTTTCGCTGCCATTTCTCCATTCTTTTTTTTTCTTCTTCTTTGTATTGTGTTGTTCTCAATGGATAATCAAACCCTTGCCACCATCAATCCTGCACAAGATCTCACTTCACCATTCTTTATACATCCTAGTGAAAATCCTGGTGTTGCTCTGGTTTCAGTTTTGCTGAATGGAGACAATTACCACTCTTGGTCACAAGCAATGGCAAGATCTATCAAGACCAAGAACAAGCTGATCTTTATCGATGGCTCATTTCAGAAACCTCAAGTTGAAGATCCAAGATTTGCTAGTTGGGATAGATGTAACACACTTGTGGTATCTTGGCTCATACAATCGATGGATCCAACGATATCACAAAGTATCTTATGGATCGAAACAACTGTGGAAATATGGCAAGATTTAAAGGAAAGGTATAATCAAGGAGACATATATAGAATTTCTGAGCT